GGCTTTTTTCTTTTTGCTTATGTGGTGCTGAGGAATCGAACCCAGGGCCTCAGGCATGCAAGGCAAGCGCTCTACCACTGAGCCACCTTCCCAGTCCCTGTGTTGGTTATTTTTGAGATAAGGTCTTGTTTCCTGCCTGGGCACTTGCCTGGAAAGTCATCTACATAGTTATGCTTCTCACTGTAGCTGGGATGGCATACATGTACCGTCACGCGTAGCTGCTTCTGTTGAGATGGAGTTGTGAATTTTTCTGCCCAGGATGCCCCAGAACTGCAATGCTCATGACCTCAGCCTCCCACAATGCTAGAAGGCGCCTGTCACTGAGCCATGGGTTGGGAAGGGGTTCTGGGAGGCATGCTGGACTGGTGTAGAACCTTCATCTTCCTTATCTCAGCCTCTCAAGTAGTTAGGATTACAGATGTGAGTCACCATGCTCGGCCTGGTATGAATTTTTTTTTTTTTTTTGGTCAGTTGTGGGCTCTGAACTCTGGGACTGGGCACTGTCCCTCAGCTCTTCAGCTCAAGGCAAGCACTCTACCACTTGAGCCACAGAACCACTTTCGGCTTTTTTCTTTTTGCTTATGTGGTGCTGAGGAATTGAACCCAGGGGCTCATGCATGCAGGGCAAGTGTTCTACCATTAGCCCAGAGCCAACATACTCAATTAAAAACAGAAAATTCCACAGTAAACATATGTAAAGCAAGCCACTGTCAAGAAAACTGTGGGTATTCCTCACTGTCTTTCTTCGTCTCTGCACTTCAGATCAAGCTGATCACTCAGTGACACAATGGCCTTGGTGGCTGGGAGTTGAGCTAGGTCCAGGGCCTCCAGTAGAGCCACCTGGCTGCAGAGGTGCAGCGCTGTGGCTGGCAGTGGGCCAGTGGCATGCGGTGGTGAGTCACTCTTGCTGTGTCACTCTGGGTGACAGAGGAGGCACTTTGTGGCCTTCAACATCTAGGACCCAACTGCTCTATTACCCGCTGTCAGTGACAAACCCTGATACAATCCCTACACAGCCCCGAGGGTCCCAGAACATAGGCACAGGGCTCCCCAAGGACTGAGCTGGAGACTCGGTAAGTAGATATGACCACAGGACACACCTGGAGCCGTGCCAGTCTGCCCAGGCTGTAGCACGTGCAGCGGAGCTCCCAGTCACTTGACATGATGCTGGTTGATTTCTTTAATGACAGACTGGCTTTCAATTGCTTATCTTGATGACTGATGTCTCCTTTCCCTTTCCTTTCCTCTCTTGGAGGACTGAACTCGGAACCTCTGGATTGCCCACTGGAGAGGCCTCTAGTCTCCTTGGTTATTTTTGAGGTAGAGTTTTTCACTTTACATCTGGGCTACAGTCTTCCTTTATGTTTTCCCAGTAGCTGGGCTCATAGTCATCCACCACTGTGACCAGTCATTAGTTGAGATGGAATCTCATGTATTTTTTTTTGCCTCAGCTGTCCTTGAACTGGAAGTGTAATCCCTGGATATCCACCTCTCAAGCAGCCAGGATTACAGGCCTAAGCCACTGTGCCAGCATTTTTCTTTCTTTACTAGTACTGAGTTTGGAATGCAGGGCCTCAGGTGCTCTACCACTTGAGCTACTTGAGCCTGTTTCTTGGGCTTACATTCTGTTGTGCCCGAGGGCCATCTCTATTATTGAGCACGTACAGAACTAGAAGATAACTGCTCAGCTTTCCAGAGTTCGTATGTTTCTGACACCTCCCAAAACACTTGGGCAGACGGTGGAAGCCATTTACAATGTTCCCAGGCTGCCAGGGGTCCAGGGACGAGCGGTCACTCCATCAGAGATGTGCTCAGAGCTTCACTTCTCCCCACCGCTCCTAACGCTTGTGTCAGCAGAACCCTGACCGCAGGTCTCCATGATTCTGTTCAGCGATGGTCACAGGTGACAAGCATGAGGGCTGGGTCTCTCAGTTTCAGCGTTTGCGTTACTCTGTCCCTGCCACTCCCTCAGGCTTCTGCTTCTGTGTCTCATTTTTGTTCCTAACAGCAGGGGCACTTGGAATGCCCAAAAAGCAGCTGCACCACCCAAGAAATGCAGTGTCAGAGGAAGGGCCATCTGTACTTAGGTAGGCCTCAGTTGATACCAGACATGTTCAGAAACTGCCTGTTTTTAGGAACTGGAAGGGCAAACACCTGACCCCTGCAGGTCATGTTCTTAGTAGAAACATAAATCCAGGTATCTAGAACTATGCGTGGCCTTCAGAAGTGACAAGGACCCCTGGACATCTCACTCTACTTCTGTCCTCAAATCACTGGAGATAACTCTTCCATGCACTGTGCTGGCCAGGAGCCGGTGGAGCTGCTGGCCTCGGCACACTGGCTCTGAGTTCTGTGCAGGGCTGTCTAGCCACAAAGCTCCGCCCACCACTTCGTGAGCATCCTGAACTCTGACAGAGGGTGTGCCCCAAATCAGTACCAAGATGTGTGCTAGAAAGAAGCCCTGTACAGACTCTTTGTGGAAAGGAAAAACAGATCAGATGGATGAGTAAAAACACAGGGACAATTGCTTTTTAGTTTAAAGGAATTTCAAATGGAAATCTTTTCACTAAAAAGCTAAGGTTAGGAATCAGTGCTGTGGTTCAAGTGGTAGAGCACTAGCCTTGAGCACAAAGGTCAGAGACAGCACCCAGACCCTGAGTTCAAGCCCTATAACCGACAACAATAAAACATAAAGCTAAGGTTAATATGGCGATGTTACAATGTAATGCTTAAGAACGATACAAAATGATATATGGGTTGAGCATTGCTATCTAACAATCAAATCAAGAAGACTTTCTGACTTCATGCTGGCACATTTTGGGTGTTCAACTAGAAGAGGCCATGCGAATATCCACAACTGGAAAAGCTCCAAAATCTATGCTTCAAAGGACATAAATGAAGCACAAAAGTGCCCGGAGCTATTCTCCACCTTCCACACACTCATAGACCACCGTGTCTCTTGTCTGTAGAGACAAGGCCCCTGCCAACTGTGTCTGAAGATCATTCCTACCATGCCAGTGCCAGCCCCTCTGCAGGAGCCTGGAGAACTGCTCCCCTTCCTCCCCCCTCCAAAAGGCAGAGCAGCCTTTCCTCACCTCCACTCTTTAGGAGGTAGCGGTTGACATCCTGGATGGTGGTGTTGATGGTAGGCCCGGTAGGGACGCTGCCAGGAGTGACATCAGGGTCATTCTCAGGATCGATATTCTGAAGCCCTTTCCACGGAACTCCAGGGTGAAATTCTGTTCGTGAAAATCAAAACAAGGTGCATACTGAAACACCATCACATTGCCTTATGATATTCTATCTATCTATCTATCTATCTATCTATCTATCTATCTATCTATCTATCTATCTATCTATCTATCTATCATAGGACTAGGGGTTGAACTCAGGGCCTTCTACATTTGCTCAACTTTTTCCCCTCATGGCTGACAGTTACTTGCTGTGCAGCTTTATGCTGGTTAACTGGAGATGAGTCTCCCAGACTTTTCTTCCCAGGCTGGCTTTGAATTGCAATCCTCAGATCCCTGTCTTCTGTAACCTATGATTACAAGTATGAGTTACCAGCACTTGGTTTCATGACATTTCCTTGAGCAAAAGATGCTCAGGAACAGTGCCCAGGACCTGAGTTCAATCCCAGGACTGGAAAAAAACAAACAAACAAACAAAAAAAAAAAACAAAGATTGGGGGGGAGGGGGGAGGCTGGGAAGGGATGTGAAGGGTAAACAAAGGAGGAGGCTGCAATGCTTGGTAAGAAATGTATGCATTATCCTGCCCATGTAATTGTAACCCCTCTGTACAGTATCTTCACAAATAAAAAAAAAACAAAAAAAACAAAAACAAATTTCCTGCTTATGCAAATTAAAAAAGATTAATCTGATAATTAACTCCAGGCAGGCACATTTTATTTTATGTTTCTTTATTTTTTATTTATTTTTATTTGTTTGGGTCCGGTCATGGGGCCTGAACTCTGGGCCTGGGCGCTGCCCCTCAGCTCTTCAGCTCTACCACTTGAGCCACTTCCAGCCTTTTCTGCTTATGTGGTGCTGAGGAATCGAACCAAGGGTCTCAGGCATGCAAGGCAACCGCTCTACCACTGAGCCACCTTCCCAGCCCTCAGGCAGGCACATATTAGAAGGTGTGTGTGTCTGTGTGTGTGTGTGTGTACTAAGGCTTGAGCTCAGGTCCTAGGTGTGTGTGTGTGTGTGTGTGTATGCATGCAAGGCAACCGCTCTACCACTGAGCCACCTTCCCAGCCCTCAGGCAGGCACATTTTAGAAGGTGTGTGTGTGTGTGTTGTGTGTGTGTGGACACTAAGGCTTGAGCTCAGGTCCTAGGTATGTGTGTGTGTGTGTGTGTGTGTGTATGCAGGGCAACCGCTCTACCACTGAGCCACCTTTCCAGCCCTCAGGCAGGCACATTTTAGAAGGGGTGTGTGTGTGTGTGTGTGTGTGTGTATGCAAGGCAACCGCTCTATCACTGAGCCACCTTCCCAGCCCTCAGGCAGGCACATTTTAGAAGGTGTGAGTGTGTGTGCACATTTTAGAAGGTGTGTGTGTGTGTGTGTACATTTTAGAAGGTGTGTGTGTGTGTGCACATTTTAGAAGGTGTGTGTGTGTGTGCACATTTTAGAATGTGTGTGTGTGTGTGCACATTTTAGAAGGTGTGTGTGTGTGCACATTTTAGAAGGTGTGTGTGTGTGCACATTTTAGAAGGTGTGTGTGTGTGTGTACACTAAGGCTTGAGCTCAGGTCCTAGGTGCTACCTTTTAGCTATTTTATCCAAGTGTGCTATCATTTGAGCCACAGCTCCATTTCTAGCTTTTTGCTACCTAACTGGAAACAGAGTTTCATGTCTAGGCTGGCATTGAACGGTGATTCTCAGCCTCCTGAGCAGCTAGGATTATAGGCATGAGTCACTGGGGCCCAGCTAGAAGCTCTCTAATTACATCACTCCCTCTTTGGAACAAAGTAGAAGCAGGTATGACAGCCACCACACTAGGATCTGAATGCTTCTACCAGGTGGGATGTAGAGCCTGTTCCCTACTTCCTCTGTCATTTTCACCCTTCGGTTGAACAATACTTGATGCCAACTGTACCTCAAATTGATGCCAAAGCCATAGGCTTCCAGAGCCCTTAGTGCAGACTCCAGTACTCTCAGCACTAATCTCTCCCAGGCGTGGGACATGGTTAACACTGCTATTATTCACAAGTGTTGCTGTGTGGACTTACCTGGGGGCCAGTTGATACTAGAGCCGTTTGAGATTTTATCACTGTCAGATTTGGCACGTGACCAGCTATGGGGAACAGCTACAGGAGGACTGGCTGGCGAGTCGTTGTTTTGGATTAAATCGTACCGGCCATAGGAGTCTTCAATGGAGGACTTACCAGGAGGCCCGATACTTAGACCTCCAGGGATAGCACCTGTGCAACAACAAGAAGCAACAGCATGAACATTCCCCACAGAGGCTCCATGAAGGCCTCCAGTTTCTAAGGACTCATCCTGTTCAGAGTGACATGAACTGAGACATGGTCTGTCAAGGCTTCTCATGAACCAGAACCAGTGGCTGCTACAGTTAGCCCAAGTGTCGTCCTTGGAAGACCAAAACATTTTTTTCTCTTTTCCTTTTGGTGCTGATATTAGGGCTTGAACTCAGGGCTTCAAGCTCTTGATCAGCTGGTGTTCTACCACTTGAACTGTGCCCTCCAGTTTTAATTTTTTTTTTCCTGGTTAACTGGAGATAAGAGTCTGGTAGATTTATCTGCCTGAACTGGCTCATAACCATGATCTTCAGATCTTGGGCCTTCTGAGCAGCTGGATTTACAGGCATGAACCACTGACAGCCAGCTCCAAAACTTGTTTTCCCCTTAAGTGTTGGGTGAGACAAGTTCTTCACCATTGCTGCATCCACAGCTCAAGTATTACCAATCACATACCATAATCCTTTTCCTTTCATAGCGCTTGGAATAAATCCCAGGGTTTTATGCAAGGCAACCAGCCTGCACTGAGCTACCAAAACTATCCGAGAGTGGTTTTAGTTTGTGAAACTAGAAATTTACTTTAAAAAAAAAAAAAAAAAGAAGAGGCAGGCACAGTGGCGGTAATCCTAGCTACTCAGGAGGTTGAGATCTGAGGATCGTGGTTCAAAGCCAGCCTGGGTAGGAAAGTCTGTGAAATTCTTACTTCCAATTAACCACCAGAAAAGTGGAAGTGGCGCTGTGGCTCAAGGGGGAGAGTACCAGCCTTAAATGAAAAAGTCAAGTGAGAGCACAAGGCCCTGAGTTCAAGCCCCAGTACTGGCACAAAACAAAAAGACAGGGTTTTATGTAGGTCAAGCTAGTCTGCAAGTCCTGGGCTCAAGAGATCATTCTGCCTCAGCCTCCTGATTAGTTGGACTATTGGCGTGCCACTGTGTCCAGCAAACATTCTTTGTGTAGCACTAAAGATCAGACCCAGGGCATTGCTCAACCACTGAGCTATACCATTTGCCTAGCTAGAAATCTCTATGTAGCACTGGAGGCTGCCCATAATAAAGCCTTTTTGGGGATGATGTCTTTGTGCACTGTTGACTCCTTGCCCTCCATTCCTGCATGTGCTGCTCTCACTATAGAACGTTTATTGACTAAACCAGTCTGTCCTGAGTCAGGGCTCTCTTCTGCCATGTAAAGGTCCAGAAGTCATGCAGGGATCGTCATATGGGAGCAACTATTAGGAAGACTTTTCCTTTTAGACTGTTTTATCTCAAGAGAGAATTATATGCTCTATTAAATTTCTATTAGTTATGCAACCAGAAGCGCAAGCTAAATTTAATGCTCAAAAGTATGTACACTAGCTGGGCATTGGTGGCTCACTCCTATAATTCTAGCTACTCAGGAGGCTGAGATCTGAAGATCATGGTTCAAAGCCAGCCCAGGCAAGAAAGGCCATGAGACTCTTATCTCCAATTAACCACCAGAAAACCAGAAATGGTGCTGTGGCTCAAGTGGTAGAGTGCTTGCTGTGAGCTAAAGAGCGCAGGGACAGTGCCCAGGCCCAGAGTTCAAGCCCCATGGCTGATCAAAAACAAAGTGTGATTATTTATGTTGAACATTTTTCCTTTTTCCCCTCTTTTAAAACATTTACTTTTCCATTTGTGTCTTATTTTTAGTTTATGTGAATATGCACGTGTGTGGTATATTAAGGCTTTAACTCAGAGCCTCGTGCTCTCAACTGGCTTTTTTTTTTTTTTTTTGGTTAGTTGTAGAGCCTGAACTCTGGGCCTGAGTGCTGTCTGTCAGCTCTTCAGCTCAAGGCTAACACTCTACCACTTGAGCCACAGCGCCACTTCCAGCCTTTTCTGCTTATGTGGTGCTGAGGAATCGAACCCAGGGCCTCGTGAATGCAAGGCAAGCACTGTACTACTGGGCCACCTTCCTAGCCCCTTGATTGGCTTTTTGTGCTCATGACCTGTACTTTACCTTTGAACCACACCTCTAGCTCTGGCTTTTTGCAGAGACTCAAATTTGTCTGTCTGGGCTGGCTTTGAACCTCAATCTTTAGATCTCAGTCTCTCAGCCTCCTGAGTAGGAATTACAGGTGTGAACCACCAGATTGTACCATCACCTGGCAGACTTTTTTTTTTTTTTAATTGAGAAATAGGATATGACCTATATTCTTTGAAGTTCTAGGACATGTTCAATGATTTTTGATTTTGGAGCTAAGATCTGAGTGAGGTTCAAGAAGTGTGGCCTGGGGTCTGTGGTAGAGTGCTTGCCTAGCATGCATGAAGCTCAAAGTGGTAGAGTGCTAGCCTTGAGCAAAAGAAGCTCAGGGACAGTGCCCAGGCCCTGAGTTCAAGCCTCAGGACTGGCAAAAAAAACCCACAAAAACTAAAACAAAACAAACAGGAAGTGTGGCCTGTGTGTAATGAGATCTTAGGTACTTTGGAATATTTTTACTCAACTCTCACTGCTAGGTTCACAGAAATAGAAACAGACAAAACAAGTATGCCGCACTTTAGTGATATCAGTGGATAGAAGAGCAGTGCGCTGTAGCACGGCGGTGCAGCCCGGACGCACCATGCTTGCCAGGATTCTGATCCAGAGGAGAAGCAGCGCCGGATAAATTATCCATGGAGTTGGGGTGTGTCCACTGGGGGAGACGTGACTGGGACGGAGATGGGTCCTTCACAGACAAGCCACTGGTCATATCCATGCTGACATTCACGTTTGGGTTAAGTCCAGCTGGAAACAGAGATGCCGTTAGGGTTGGCCTGCTCCTCCTCTGGTTCTGAAAGCCCCCTGGAGTCAACATCAATGTCAGCGCAGTCACAACCACAAACTTCCACAGCAACTTCAAAGAGGGTGAAAAGGACCTTTGTGTACCTTCCCTATCTATGTATGTATGTGCACATAGAATATTTGGCTGCATGTATTTATGTTACATACAAGTATATAAACAGAAAGGAACAGTGTTCTCTAATTAAGGTGAAATGCTTATCCTCTTCCATTAGGTACACCTCAGGATTCTCTTTTGGTGTTGCCTGCCGAGTAAACTCGGTTATGCAGCTACCTGGTGGTATCCACTGAGGAGCAGAGCGGGGCCAGGGATAGGGGGCTTCTTTCTGGATTTTGAGGTACCTTGTGGGTACCACCAGGCAGAGAATTAGTTGGCTCTGAAGGAGTTTATGAGCCACACACTAAACAACTTGTAAGAGCTGAATGAACTATTTGGGGGCAAGGGTACGGCCAGCAGTTGCCCTGGGGGCTTTGCCATGGCCCTGAAGCTGACACAGAGGACCTGACAGGGAGCGCTGCCAAGTGCGCATACAGGCAGCTCCCGCACTGCACATGCCCTGTACTGCTGTCCCCCACATAAACAGGCATGTCATGCAGCACAGCAAAGGGCACCAAGAGATGAGGAGGAGAAAGAACCTTTTAGTTCTCCACTTTAAGTCAAGGACTAGAAATTCAAATATCAAAAGGAGGGCCTGGGCACTGTCTCTGAGCTTTCTGGCTTAAGGCTAGCATTCTACAACTTGAGCCACACCTCTGCTTCCAGCTTTTTGGTGGTTAATTGGAGATAAGAGTCTCACAGGCTTTCCTGTTCAGGCTGGCTTCAAACCATGATTCTCAGCTCTCACCTTCCAGAGAAGCTAGGATTACAAACATAAGCCCCTGATACCCAGCCTACTGTTTTTTTTTTTTTAATGGTGCTGGGTTACAACAGTGGACCTGTGCAGACTAGGCAAGCACTCTATCACTAAGATACATCTTCCCAGTCTTTCAAAAGACAGGTTCTTGTCATGTAGTCCAAGCTGAACTTGAACTCTCTCTGTTCCTGTGTCTGCTTACCAAATGCCTGTATTACAGACATGTGTCACCAAGCCCAGCTTCAAGGGTGCTAATTTAAAAGCCTTTAAGTATTTGTGTCAGTCATGCAATGGGTGCTCTGAAACGGTTCTGCTGTTCCACTGCAAAGCAGCCTCAGGAAACTGGCGCTCTGGTGTGTTTAGGGCTGCACATTCAGTGACAGTGACTGGCCGACACAGGGACTTCCAGGCAGCCTGCTATCCAGCGTGGCTTGTAATAAGCCCACAGGAGACTCACCAAGAGGGTAGGGAGCAAATGTGTTGGGTGAAGACTGCTGCTCTTTGGTCTGCAGGTCAGGTAGGCCGGGAGCCTGGGGGTGGGGAGGGAAGCCATCCATGGCCGATTTGCCTGCAGAGGGGTGCAGAGACAGGTGCGGCGGGGGAGGCGGAGGCTGCTTCACAAGCAGGGCCTGGGCCAGCTGGCGCTGGTGCTGCTGGATCTGCTGCTGCAGATTGGTGATTGTGCGTGCAACCTGGTAGGTGGAGACACATGCACTTTAGCTGGGTGCGTGGGGATACGCAAGGCCTTCCTTTACCACTGGGCTAGCCTCCACGCAAACCTAGCTAGCTCCAGGACTTCCCCAAAGTGGAGACTCAGCTGGAGAAAAGTCAGTAACCTCTCAGCTCATCAGCTGGGGCCCTGTCTATCAGGGAAAACGATCGCTAGCAACAGAAGCTAGTACGGCAACACCTACTTGCTGCTCCTGTTGTCTCATGGGTCCGGAAACATTACGCTGGGCCTGTAACATCTGCTGCTGGATTTGTAAACGTTGGTAAGCCTGTTGAGAGAAAAGTCACAGGACTGTAAGGAAATGTCCCTCAGACAACGGATGCGACCATCAGAAGACTGCAACAGGCTGCCAAGCAGAGTACGAAACAGCTCTGAATCCCTTAGGGCCCCGTGCTTGGCTCTGCCAGCAGCAGCGAACTACAGCGGCTGAAAGGCTGAAGCAGGGAACACTGCAGACCTGGCAGGGTAACCACAGAGCTCTGTGCAGGGAGGGCAAAGGCTACTGCTGGTGGCTATCACAGGATTGTTTTCTTACAACACAGATTTCTAGGGACATTTTGGCAAGCATACATTAAGACAGAATGGAAACAGAGGTAGAGATGGCACCATTAGAAATGCCTCTACTGCCAGGCCTGTGGCTCATGCCTTTGCTTCACAAATCCCTAGAGGCCCTAAGGCCTAATAAACTTCATTTCTGCAGTATTTCTAGGAAAAGACTTAAGAATTCACCATGTTCTTGGTGTCTTCCACACCACAGGGACCAAAAACCTGTTCCACACTGAAAGGTCTAGCAGGTCTGCTCCACCCTCAGCTGCTCCCAGTCAGGAGGCAGTATGGCTCGCAGCACTGCCATGAGCAAGTGTGAGCCTGGCTTAGTGAACCCTTGCCTAGCTCGGTGTTCCCTTCCTTATTGCCTTCCAAGGTGCAGGGGTCTCCTGCTGCTGTGAAGGCAGACTGTAGTATAACCACGGGCTGACTCTAGTTGCAGCATTTCCCATGAGTGTCTCCTCTGTTACGAGTCAAGACACAGCGGAGGGCGAGGCCACATCTAGCACTGAGCCCTTCAGGAAAGCAAGGACATGTGCAGCTGTGAGGGAGGCTGCCCTCTATAGACCTCTTCCCATGGTCCCCTGCTACTTACTGAAAAGCCAGACACTCAATAAAGCATGCCTACAGCCAGCACAGCGGGGCGGGGGACTCCCAAGGACACACAGCGAAGGTTTCATGTCAGAGGATTCATGTGTTGGACTCTTCACTTTTCCCCTAGTTACTTTTCCTTTCCCTCATGACTCCTTTTCATTTTCCAGACAATGAAGTTGCTGGATAAGATATCTAAATAAGTCAAGTGTCCATACATAAAAAATAAAACCATATACTTGCTTGGCCCTTTAATTCTTATAAATTCGGTGTGTGTCTAGAGACATGATAGCGTGGCGTTAAAACTTAAAATTCCAATTATGTTGAATGCTCAGATTTTAGAGAATAATTGAGTCATTTCAGCTGTTCTCAATGGGGACTCTATAAGAGAGTTAAGTTTGATATTTAAAGAACTTAGTAGTGTTTGGGCCCGTGACCCTGAGAGAGGTGAGAAAATAGTTACTGAAATAGTGTGTGTATGCATCTGTCCTGGGGGTCTGATGAGAAATGCTGGTTGAGAGTTCAAGGCCAGGTTATATGCCTGGACACTAGTCACCTCCTATGAAGGCGCCAAAACTTTACACAGCTCAGTGAAAGCACTGCTGAGTGAAAAACTCACTCATAAGTCACAACAACCATGTGTGCAGCAAAGGTACTAGAACTTGTTGAGCTCTGTCTCTGCTCTGGAATCTGCACATCTTTCCACTCACCAGCTGCAGCTGATGGAGCTGGTTCAACATAGTCACGTGCTGAGGGTTGGTTGGCGAGGCTAACAGTGCAGGGTTGAGACCAATGGTTTTCGCTGCAAACTGCAAAAGCTGTGCTTGAACCTGTGAATACAAACCCATTGTCAACCATAGCATCTCCATGACAACATTACTCATCTGTTTTTTTTGTTTGTTTGTTTGTTTTTGAGATTCAAACTGGTTAACTGATAATTATATTTGTCATGGCTGAGCTCTCCAAAGGCTATTAGGATGTTTAAGACTTTTTTTTTGTCAGCCATGGGACTTGAACTCTGGGCCTGGGCACTGTCCTGGGCTCTTCAGCTCAAGGTGAGCGCTCTACCACTTGAGCCACAGCACCACTTCCAGTTTTCTGGTGGTTTATTGGAGAGAAGAGTCTCACGGACTTTCCTGTCCAGGCTGGCTTTGAACCACGATCCTCAGATCTCAGCCTCCTGAGTAGCTAGGATTACAGGCGTAAGCCACAGGCGCCTGGGTGTTTTTAACATTAACATTTTAACATTAGTAGTTAACATGTTCAGAAGAAGGAAGAAGGAAGGAAGGAGGAAAGGAACATCTCCTGAGCAGTTTCTTCCTGCAAACAATTGGCCTATCCAATTGGCTCTCTATAGTTCTGGGTCATTGCTACTCGTTATGTTTGTGTCCTCTGAAAGTGAAACCTCAAGAAGTTATCCAGCTGGCTCTGCCTCAGTAATCAGAGAGGCCAAGGTTTGCATCTAGTGCAGGATTCTTTAAGTCCTTCTCTAGCACGACTCTCCTGAGTCTGCCAAGGCTGCTGGGGTGACTTGACTAATACATGAAACTGTTAGCTACCCAGTTCTACCTTTCTCAACTCAGTATATACAACTGGTCCTGAGTTGTTCTGGGATGCTTCTCTGATGTCCCATGCAGCAGTGAGGCCCTCTGAGATGGACAGATGGTCCTTTCCCAGCGACTCAGGGCCATCATCAAGGTCAGTGGAGTAACTTCCTCAGGCAAGACCAAGGTCAGAGATGCAGCAATGGGTGCATGGGGCTCAGCTTCACTTAGAATTGCTCTGGGGCTGAGGATGGGTCTGTGGTGGAGCACTTACCTAGCATGTGAAAGGCCTTGAGTTCCATCCCTAGTGCATGCACATATACACAGGCGCATGTATGCAGGTGTACGTGCATGTGTACGCGTGTGCACACACTCTGTTTTAGCCAGTGGATGTTTGCTGTGGCCTGGGTTCCATCCCTAGTGCACGCGTGTGCACACACGCACATGCATACACCCTCTGCTCTGGCCTGTGGATGCTTGCTGGGGCTGGCCAGTGCAGCACAACCAGTACACTACTTCATGGGTTAAAACAGCCTCACAGGTTTGAAAAGGAAAGATGAGTTCTAAAATGCAGGTGATTTCAGGTCTCACTTTTTTTTTTTTGGGGGGGGGGCTGGTCGTGGTGCCTGAACTCTTGGCCTGGGCACTGTCCCTCAGCTCTTCAGCTCAAGGCTAGCGCTCTACCACTTTGAGTCACAGCGCCACTTCTGGCTTTTTTCTTTTTGCTTATGTGGTGCTGAGGAATCAAACCCAGGGCCTCGAGCGAGCATGCAAGGCAAGCGCTCTACCACTGAGCCACCTTCCCAGCCCCTCAGGTCTCACTTTAGCAAAGACCTATCTGTGCCTCCAACTTGAGCACACAGGCTTGAGTCTGACCTGAGGGGAGAGAAACTGAGGCACTTGAGCGCGGAGGCTGGGCTGGGAAGAGTTAAGAGGCTGCACTGGCGGCTGCTGCATGGTCCTGGCTTGTGCTGCTCCGCTATTGCCAAACACACCCAGATTGCCACTCGGGATCTGTGGGAAGAGGGGAGGGCGGTTAGGAGGTTGGGGTGGGGTGAAGGGGCACACCTCCTGCTACCACCCCTGCCAACCCGACCCCCAGGGCACTTGGGATGGAGCCGTCTGATGGGTTATAGAAGCCTGTAGTTTTAAACCCCAGTTACTTGTATTACAAACACGCAGACTATACCAGAGGAAACAAGGATAGAGTATTTCAGGAATGCATGGACATGGCTGTCTAGATCAGAAAGCCATCTGTGGTTAGTTAGGGAACAATGATCATGGTATCTTCACTAACCTGAGAGCAACATTTTCAAGTGGGCAATATAGCTGTGCAAGGCCTTAAAGAATCACTGAGGAAATTTAGGCACTTAATTCATTTTGGATGTAAGTATGTTCTGGAAGTATTTTCCACACTTTGGTTAGGCATGAGCTACTTAACTGTAGGTAGAGAGTTGTGTGAGCAGACTTTGTGTGCCCTAAGTCCTTGCAGGTGGTCAAGTTCAGATAGCAATGTATGAAATGCAGACTTTCTGCTGCATTCTACTGACTCAGCCAGGGGTGAGAGCTAGGGTCATGCCTGGGGTCAGCATGGGGCAGCTGGCATTGGATGCTGGGGTCATGCCTGGGGTTAGCACGGGGATGATAACAGTGGATACTGGGGTCATACCTAGGGACAGCATGGGGCTGCTGTCAGTGGACGCTGGGGTCACGCCTGGGGTCAGCGTAGGGCTGCTTAGCCACCAGATACCAGGGACTCCGGCACGAGAAATACAAAGGTGCCTGAAGCAGAGTGGCGAGCTGGCTGCTCTCCCAGCAAGCACGTGTTTGTTTGAGAATAGCACATGCATTTGAAGGAAGGGAAAGATGACTTTGACGTCTTATTAGTAATGGTTAAATTCCAAGCAGTGTTGCTTGGTTCTGGGCTCCAATAAGCCTCTGTAGGGAGATCCTCAGAGCCCCTCACCTGCCCTTGCATATTTGATGATGTGTTAAGGAAAGGTATAGTTTACTTCCCCAACACATTTTTTTTTTTTTTTAATGAGCCAGGTGAACACAGACCATGCTCTTACCTGTCTAGAAGAGTTCAAGTTTTGCATGCCTAGCCCTGAGGCAATCCCACCCAGGGCCTGATTGGGGAGTGCACTGTTGGAAAGGGGGAGCTTCAGGCTTGGGGAAGGCAAAAACGGTGAAGTCGTGGGCTCTTCCACGAGGCCGCCATCCTGATTAGAGAAAGAAAGGGTGAGCTGTGCGCAGTGCCCATTAGGGGACAAAGCACCAACAGTGCCCAGAGGGAACAGAGCAGAGTGTGGATGGAAAAAGAGTTAAAAGATCAAAAAAGTGTGGACAATGAGGAAATGGAAAACATGGGCCAAAGAAGAGGGGGAGAGGGGAGAGAGAAATAGGATTAAGATGCTGTTTTCATTAAAAACGATTTTACAAACACATATATTAGCTTCTAGTACTCTTAGATGCTGCTGCCCATGCCCTGGCTAGAGTAGAGAGAAAGGGACAGAAGCACCAAGAGTCCTGGTTGGGGTTGCCAGATTCAGTAAATAAAAAATAAAGGACTCTGAATTCATCTAGAATTTCAGGTAAATAATAAATACATAAACTTTTGGTATAAATATGTTCCTGGGGCTTGGAGCAGTGGCTTAAGCTTATCATCTTAGCTACTCAGGAGGCTGAGATCAGAGAACTGCAGTTTGGGATTGAGACTCTTTTGTTTTTTGGTCCTGGGGCCTCAACTCTGGGCCTGGGTGCTGTCTCTCAGCTCTTCAGCTCAAGGCTAGCGCTCTACCACCTGAGCCACAGCACCACTTCCAGCTTTTTCTGCTTATGTGGTGCTGAGGAATTGAACCCAGGGCCTCATGCATGCGAGGCAAGCACTCTATCACTGAGCCACCTTCCCAGCCCCCAATATTGAGACTTATCCCTAGATACTCCACAGCCCAACCTTCTGAAGTAGACATGTGTTAGGAGGGCTGATGACAACAGAAAGCTCCTCAGGGCTGTTAAGCCTCCTCATGGGGCTTTTCCGGTCATGGAACCACTCTACCATTGAGCTAACATTCTCATTCCTTTTTTGTTTATCATGAGACAGGTCTTACTTTGAACTCATGATACTTTTGCCTCAGCTTCCCAAGTAGCTGGGATTATAAGTATGAACCATCATACCTGGAAATTTTTTTGCCAGTCCTGGAGCTTGAATTCGGGGTCTGGGTGCTGCCTTTGAGTCTCTTTGTGTTCAAGGCTAGCATGACCTCTGCCTTTTTCTGAATAGTTTATTGAAGGTAAGGGTCTCATGGACTTTTCTGCCAGGACTAGATTTGAACTGTCATCCTCAGATCTCAGCTTCCTGAGTAGCTAGGATTACGAGCTCATATGTGGAATTCTTTTATATTTCTTAAACTTATACTTTTTTCTTGTTTCTGTTCAGAATGTAACTTTCTAGTTGGAGGTAACATGATGCTCCCCCCCTTTGGTAGTCATCCCAATCTGGAGAGGAGACATCCCTCCATGACAACATGAAGGCAGAGCACCCCTTAAACAACTGACACATTCACTCACCTGGCCCCACCCTCCCTTCCTAATGTAACTTCATTTCCACACTGATATTTAAACAAACACTTGAACTGAGTATTTAAAAAATGAAAACTGGCTTTAAATGCCAGCATTTTTACCCCTAGCATAGACATTAAGCCTTGCATGCATCAGAAGAGCTGGTAGAGCCCTTTTTAGATTACAGTGCAGCAAGGTCGCAGCTGGCTTCGCACCAGTTAGTCTGACACTTCCACCAGGGTACAGCTGAGGTGGACAAGCAAGCTGCTGGCCAGATGCGGTGGGTACCTTGTCAAGAAAGGCGGGGCGGTCCAGGGAAGACTCTTTGGAGATTGGTGGGCGGCAGCCAAGGGGTTTGGTGACCATTCCATTGTAGTCGGTCACTCCTAATCCACGCTTGTCCATGTCCACCTTCTTTTCCAGCAGAGCACCTGGGGCACAACACAGGGAGCCATGCTGAAAACCTGCACCAGGCAAGGCGCATCTACAGCCCCTCCACATTAGACAAGAACATGGGCCTACCTGGACATCCCAGCACTGGTCCTCTCCTACTCTACGTGCCTGGGATCTGGCCCTGCTGGCCTGTTCTCTACTTGACTTGTCCTCTGCTTCCTTTCCCCAGGTTGTCACATGGTGACTTCTTCCCCAGAACCCACAGTCTCAGGCCTTCTGTCTGGCAACCTCCCGCCTTCGGAGCTCTTGTCACAGTCTGTCCTCAAGGAGTTCCTGGCCAGTTCCTGCTTGTTTAGCAGTAGTAGAACTATATACTGCTTCCCAACTATAAGTTGCATGATTCATAGCCTTGGCTCCTTCTTCTGCCCTGCAGTCTGAACCATACACTGGTGCTTCTGTGTGATTCTACCACCTGTCCCTTTATATGGACTCGGCCTGCTCACCCAAATCAACAGCTGTAGCACTCTCATGCTCCCTAGGGGTGTGCAGAAAAATGGATGCACCAACAGACACAGCTCAGGTCAAACAAGGTGACATATAGCTCAGTGTCCTTGTTTATGGTCTGTTTAGTGCCATGCTTCTTTCCTATTTTTGTGCTGTTTACTGGTAACTTGGTGTTATACTGGTCCCCGGTACAATGCTGTGTAGTGTTGCTAACCCCTGCAGAGAAACCCTGTCAGGTAAGTGTCCTTCAGAGGTGCACTACAGGGCTGTAGGTTGTGTTCAAAATGAATGACTACATGCAACTCTTTCTAGGAACGAGGACTTCACAAGAGGCACCTGAGGAAAGCACTCGCCACTTACTCATGGCCTGGTCAAGGTTCATACTGCTGCTCTTCAAGGCCTCTTCAGCTGGCTCTCTCTGGGGAGCAAAGCAGGGTTCTCATTAGCAGTGTCCCAGACAGGAGGAAGAACTCAGAATCAGTTGGATCACTACAACAAAGGTGGCTATTGTTACGGAGTTTTAGAAATTTGTTTTTTTTTTTGGGGGTCCAGTTGTGGGGCCTGAACTCTAGGCCTGGGCGCTGTCCCTCAGCTCTTCAGCTCAAGGCTAGCGCTCTACCACTTGAGCCACAGTGCCACTTCCGGC